CAGGGTCTGTCTGAGGCAGCTCTTGGGAGTCTGGGCTTGTGGCATAAAGAGCTTCCGGTGGCCTGAGTGATGGGACTGTGGGAAATCGAGGCGTGGGTGTTCCACTCCTGGCCGGGAAAGGGCCTGGACTTCAATTTTCAGAAGCCTCTGGGTCAGGGAAAGTATCCAGGGGGGCAGCCTGAGGAGACAGGGTACTGTGGACAGAGGGGTTGGGGGAGGGGGCGTCCGCGGCTCAGGTTTAACATTCTCAGCCAGGAGTCACCTCTGACTTGACGCCTGGCCGCTGCAGGATTGTGGGAAAGGTGGGGTGCACACTGACCGGATGCTGCCACTCATGCCTTAGTAACCGTAGCAACCTCCTGGGAGGATTTGTGCCCAAGGGTCCACTATCCTCGGGTCCTTGGACAACTCCAAGAAGGGGCCTCCGTGTGCTGGGATTGTGGTCATCCCTGTTTCCAGCAACGTGGAGTGACAGCTGTCCTTGGCCAAAAACACAGGAAAAGCTGTGGGCTGTGTGTGTGCGGGGGGTGGGGGGGGACTTTAGTCCCAGCAGCCTCTGGCATGGGGGGGTTCCAAAGGCAGCTGTAAGAAGATAGATATCCACCCCCCCCACCTCTGAATTTTCCAGAAGACTGTGGGGGATTGGCATAGCGTGTGAGGTGGGGATGGAGCCAGCCTGGAGGTGGAGCAAAGAGTACCCGTACCACCCCCAGTGCTAGAGGGGCTGGAGGGTCCCAGCCTGGAGCAGCCCTGGGCCCTGAGCCTTGGTCTTTCTGTACCGTGTACTGAACCTGTTTGTCTAACCCTCTCCCCTGCTCCCTGCACTGTCTGCCAATTTCACTCTGTCCCTGCTCCTCCTGCCCCATTTTCCTCCTTCTGCTTAACCCCGCTCCACTCTCTGGCCCCGTCTCTCCATCCCCTCGTCTCCACCTTCCTTCCCCTCCCTGTATCTCCATCCCCTTCTGTCCCCACAGCCCCGCGTGACGCCGGAAGGGGAGTACATCCCGCTGGACCACCAGGATGTGGACGTGGGCTTTGACGGGGGCACCGACCGCATCTTCCTGGTCTCGCCCATCACCATTGTGCACGAGATCGACTCAGCCAGCCCGCTGTACGAGCTGGGCCGTGCCGAGCTGGCGCGGGCCGACTTTGAGCTCGTGGTCATCCTTGAAGGCATGGTGGAGGCCACGGCCATGACCACGCAGTGCCGCTCGTCTTACCTCCCCGGGGAGCTGCTCTGGGGTCATCGTTTCGAGCCGGTCCTCTTCCAGCGGGGCTCCCAGTACGAAGTCGACTACCGCCACTTCCACCGCACGTACGAGGTCCCGGGGACGCCCGTGTGCAGCGCCAAGGAGCTGGACGAGCGGGCGGAGCGGGCTGCCCACAGCCCCAAGTCCAGCTTCCCCGGCTCCCTGGCCGCATTCTGTTATGAGAATGAACTCGCTCTGAGCTGCTGCCAGGAGGAAGAGGAGGAAGAGGAGGCCAAGGAAGGGAGTGAGGCAGAGAAAGAAGACGACGCTGCCTGCCCCCGAGTTCTCACACCGACCCTGGCCCTGACTCTGCCCCCGTGATGCCAGCCAATGTCCCCTTTCCGTAGGTGCCCCCTTTCCCACGGTGGGGTTTGGGGGCAAGATGGAGTGGTCAGCCCGCATCTGGCGGGGGGCAGCTGATCGCAGAGAGCCGCCAGCCTGCGGGATAAACCATTTACCTGTGAGCATCTGTCAGGCCCGGGGGAGCAGACCCCTCAGCTCCCATCCCCTTCCTAAGTCTCACCAGAATTCAGGCCTCGCAGTGGTTCTAGATTGTTCCATGTGGTTGGGTCTGGTTAGGGGTTGAGAGGAGAGGGCAGGCCGCTGTGGGAAGGAATCGGCAGTTCTCGAGGAGCCACACAGCAGGAGTTGGGAGGTGTGGACTAATCTAAGCAGCAAGGGGCTTTTGCGTTTGACCCGGACAACTGAGCAGCAAGTCATTTGTTCTAGGCTACCTAAGGTCTAGAATGTTCCAGGTCTCTCTGTGTCTAGACTGGCCCAAGATAAAGAGGAATGAGTGCGAGTCAAACAAAACTGTGGTTTCCGAGAGCCAAAGGGTTGACTCTTGGAGTTCAAGTTGACCACAAAGGCAAGCACTGGCTTGACTTTAGAAAATGCAGTGAATTTTCTAGAATGCACGCAACAGGAGCAAGGCTGTGGGTTAAGAAGGAATGAGTAGGAGGTTCTTGCAGAACATCCAGCCGAGGGGAAAGGCAATGCTTCCAGAGGATCCACAGGGTTGTTTTTCTTTTTAAAGTGCCATTCTAGAATGTCCAAAGGAATTGGGATTCTGTAGGGTCCAGGGAGGAGTGGCAGTCCAGAGCGCTCGCCGCGTGCTGGTTCCGGTTTTCCCAATGGGTTCCAGATGACTTCCTGTGGTTCTGTCCTTGCCAAAAGGCTCCGGGCATCCAGAGGCAGCCATTCCCAAAGCCTGGGCGCTCTCGTTGCCTCCACAGGGGCTGCGCAAGCCTTCCTGGCGGTGGACCCAGCCTTGCTGAGCAGCGTTTCTGAGCTGACCCTGCAGGGTGAGGGCTTGAGAGAGAGCCTGACGGTCACAGGGCTCCTTCGTGGGCCAGGGACAGAGCAAGGGCCGAGACTGGGGAGTCTAGAATGCTCTGGAATCCTACATCTAGCAACACATGTCTGTTTCTATACATATGTGTATCATATATATATACATATAATATAAATACAGATATCTATTTTTTTTTCTCCTGGTTCCTGCAGTGGGCTCAGACTTGGCTTGAGCCAGGGGGGAATGCAGTGCTTTGGGGAAGGTCCAGAAAATTCTTTTGTGAAACCTAAACTACACTGACTTAGTGTGTGACTTGGGACACGGCGCTTGCCTCAGCTCCCCCCATGTGGAATGGGGCAGGGGAACCTGGAGGCTCTGTGAGGTCCTCCCTTGGTGATGGGTACGGTGGTGGGGTGTGGGCCCTGGGTGGATTCCAGCCCACGCAGGCACATAGCACAGGGCCTTCTGGGGGGCACGCACTCTGAGCTTGGGCATCTGAGTCCCAGGGCCGGAGGTCGGTGTCGTGTTGCTGACGCTGGCAACATGCAGTGGCGTGCCAGTTTGAATCCTGGGCACTCTCCTTTCCATCCAGCTCTCTGTGTGCGCAAGGAAAGCAGGGGGAAAATGTGGATGTGGCAAACCCAGATGGAGTTCCTGGCTCCTCGCTTCCATCTGGCCCAGCCCTGACTGTTGCAGCTGTTTGGGAAGTGAATCAGCGAGTGAAAGATCTCTTTCTCTCTGCCACCCTACCTTTCAAATAGGTTATTGGAGTCACAGGGCCAGCAAGGAGTAGCAAGGCCATGGCTGAGGGCAAAGCCACCTCGTCTTTGGTCTAGCTCAGGGGACTGGGCAAGGAGGAGTTCTGAAACCCACACAGGAGAAGGGAGGTATTCCCCACGCAGGTTTGTCACCCTCAGTTTCAGGGCTCCTTGGCCATCGATGAGTATGTTTCTGGGACACAGCTCCTCAGACCTGCCCCACCCCGCCTCAGGCTGGGAGCCAGCCGCAGAGGGAACCGGTGCCAGGGCAGGGGAGGACGTGTCCCCATGCCCAGCTCCGGACCCTGGCCAGGCACATCATTGCGCAAATACTGCAGCAAGCTGGCAGCCCCCTTCCGGTTTCCCTGTCTCCCTTTATCCTTCAGAATCCCTGTGTAATGACCGGATGGGATTAATTAGCTGGCCACTCTCACAGCTCAGGGTGTCCCGGGGAGGAACAGGGGATGACGGAATCCCAGACCTTATGGTGGGGTGACGGGACAAGGATGGGACCGGGTTTGGAAGGAGAGAACTGGGGAGAGGATCAAAGCTGGCACCACCCTGCCTCCCTCCGCGGGGCAGGCCAGGACCCGGTCACTCAGAAAGGTCAGTGAAGGGATTAGCAGGCTCCAAGTCTCCATTTCTAATCCTACTGCTTAGCCAGGTCCTGGCCCTGAATCCGTCCCTGCCTGCGCAGCCCAGGGACGGCACATGAGGACGAGCCCCGGGCATCACTGGGGTCTTTTTCTTTATCACGCCTCTGTGGTTTCCATCCAGGTGGGACCCGCGCACCTGCCGGCAGGGCGAGGAATGGAAACAGGAGGCTGTGGAAGGGGAGGGCCCCAGGTGCGGAGGGCAGGAGGCTGAGGGGTGCGGTGGGATGGGGGTGAAGGGAGCAGAGTGGGGAGCCCCGGGAGAAAGCAGAGAGCAGGGAAGGTGCTGAGCAAAGGGAGGGGATGCTAAACTAACGGGAGGGCTTGTGAAGAGAGGGCGGAGCCTGAGAAGCAATAGGAGGCAGAAGGCAGAGCTTGTGCCTGCATCATATTTGGCATTTTTCCCTATCGTGCCATTCTACGTGACACGACACTAAAGTAGCATGGCTTTGGAAGAAAAGAATGTCTTTCTCGCCTCACTACCCTTTCAAGACGCCGAAACGGACGGGCTCTTGCGCGGTGCTGAGGAAAGGGTTTGGAGGTAGAACGCGAGAGGGAGAGGCCCGAGACAGGGAGGCCAACGCGGCCCTTGGTTGCCTGGCAACCACTGCGGGCCGAAGCCCGCGTGGCCCGCTGGGAAGTGTGGCTCTCGGAATCGACCCACGGCTCCGGCCCCGCCCCCTTAGCAACAAGACTCACAAAGTAACGCCCCCTGGCAACGTGTCTGGAGGCAGAGCCTGATTGGCCGAGACTCGGCGTGCCGAGAACCCACGCGCAGGCCCAGTGTTCTTGACTCGCGCATTGCGAGGCTTCTCATTGGTGGGCAGGCTTTGCCAAGGGCTTTCTTTTGTTTCGGGGGTGGGGTCTGACGCCCTGCCGGCGTTCCGATTGGTCCCCCGGGCCGTCTACGGCCATTGCTACACCCGCATCCCGCGTGCCTATTGGCCCTGAAGGACTACCCTTTGGCGTCGGGGGCGGAGCCGAGCGCAGAGCTCGGCGTGGATTGGGCGGTGTCAAGCAGAGGGGCGGTGCCTAGCGGCCGGGCGGTTGGGCGACGAAGGCAGAGTGTTTTCAGCGCTGAGGGCTGGCGCTGAGGAGGCGGCGGTGGCTCCCGGGGCGTTTGAGCGGGCTCAGCCGAGCCCGCGGGCCAGCGCGGAACCGGGCCCGACCGGCGGGGCCGCCCCGGACTCCCCGCGGGCTTTCCTAGCCGCCATGGAGGACGGCGTCTATGGTAGGCCGCGGAGGGGCGGGGCCGGCCGGCAGCGAACGGAGCCTTTTTTTTTGTCGCGAACGTTCGATCGCGGGGGGTCCCTGTCCCCGGCGCCGCGGCCGTGCGGGGCTGCGCTGCCCCCCACCCCGGCGTCGCCGCCCGCGCCTTGCGGGTGGGGGGCTCGCGGCGGAGCCCCCCGAGAGCCGGGCGTTCCAGGCCATTGTTTGGGCCGAGCCCGTTTCCGGTGTCGGAGGGAGGGGGCGGGATGGAGCGGAGGAGGAGGAGGAGGCGGTGGCGAGGCCGGGATCGAACCCTCGGCACCGGAGAGGCCGAGCGAGCCCCGGGCCTGGCGCGGGCCAGCAGACGGACCCCGCCGCGCTTCGCCGCCTCGGCGAGCTGCCGGCTGCAGTTACTACGCCTGCACCCCCGAGTCCGCAGACCCCGGCCCCCAGCTGCCGCCTCGGCCGGCATGCGACACCACGGCCCCTTTGCAAGTCCTGGATCCCCGAGTGGAGGTTCCCGCAGCCCTGCAGGCTCCGGACCCCGCTTGTCCCCCCAGGACTCTGCCGGCCCAGGCTAGTTGCCATCAGTCAGCTGCCAGACAGCTTCGTCCTACCCACACCCACACGGGGCGAACCTTGAAGGCTCTGCACACCCCCCCCCCAAAAGTGAAGTTGGAAAAAACTCTTGACCTTCCCCTTCCGACTCCCCGGCTCCCCAGAACCCCCAGACCTGACCCCCGAAGAGCGGATGGAGCTCGAGAACATTCGGCGGCGCAAGCAGGAACTCCTGGTGGAGATCCAGCGCCTGCGGGAGGAGCTCAGCGAAGCCATGAGCGAAGTGGAGGGGCTGGAGGCCAACGAGGGCAGGTGAGGCCCACGGCGTGGGGCTGCGGGCCTGGGTGCCCAGGCCTCTGCTGACCGCCCCCCTGCTCTGTGCCCCTTCGCAGTAAGACCTTGCAGCGGAACCGGAAGATGGCGATGGGCAGGAAGAAGTTCAACATGGACCCCAAGAAGGTATCGGAGCCCCCCAGGGCTGGGAGCAGCCCAGCAGCCTGCAGGCCGACAGGGGGATGTGGCACCTCCCGGGTCCAGGGTGAGATGGTTGCTGGTCTCTGTGGGGTGACAGGTTGAGTCCCGGTGCCTGGACCCAGGTCCTGGCTGGCCACTTGCTCTGTGAGCAGCAGGTGGACCAACATCTGGGTAGTTGCTGTTGGTCTGTCCCTTGCCAGGAAGGTCCTGTTCCCTGTTCCCTGTTCTGCATGCCCAAAGGACTGACCAGTGCCCTGCAGAGGCGGGTACCAGATGCCAGGGCTGTGGCCTGAGGAGGGGCCCTGGAGGGCTTTCCTGACAAGGGGCAGCCAGGCTGGGCTGGAGGGAGGGAGAGGTGCTTACCAGTTAGAGGAAGACTTTTTTTTTGTAAGATTTATGTATTTTTATTGGAAAGGCAGATGTACAGAGAGGAGAAGAGACAGAGAGGAAGATCTTCTACCTGCTGGTTCACTCCCCAAGTGGCCACAATGGCTGGAGCTGAGCCAATTCAAAGCCAGGAGCCAGGAGCTTCTTCCAGGTCTCCCACATGGGTGCAGGGTCCCAAGGTTTTGGGCCGTCTACTGTTTTCCCAGGCCACTAGCGGGAAGCTGGATGGGAAATGGAACAGCCAGGATACAAACTGGCACCCATATGGGATCCCGGTGGTTGCAAGGCGAGGACATTAGCCACTAAGCTACTGCACCAAGCTTGAGGAAGACTTATTTATATGAAAGGGAGAGACACGGCCACCTTTCATCTGCTGGTTTCACTGCCCAGATGGCCACAGCTGCCGGGCTGGACCAGGTCAAAGGCAAGAGCTCCATCTGGGGCTCCCACGCTGATGCAGGGGTCGAAGGGCTTGGGCCGTCCTCTGCTTCCCAGGTGCACTGGCAGGGAGCTGGATGGGGAGTGGAGCAGTCGGGACTCCAGTTTGTGATAGAATGGGGTGCAGCTTAACCCAGTGCATCTCAAGAGCGGCCCCAGATCCACAGGTCTCCCAAGGCCCCAGGGCTGTGCTGGGCAGTGCTGGGGCCCTAGAGAGGAGGGACCCTGGGCTGTAGCGTGGACGCCTGAGGAGCCCACAGCAGCTGCCCTGTGGGTCGTTTCTTCTTGTTTGAAGTGGTGGTGGTAGAGTCACGTAGTAGACGGGTTCGGCGATCAGCCCCTGCTCCTGGCGTAGACATAGCTGGGGTAGCTGGACAGAGGCTGGAGGCGGCAAGGCCGGCGGTCATGTACCTGCTGTGTGGCTGTGGCTGTAGACACCAAGGCCACTGAAAGCCCACCCTTGCCCACCCTTGCCCACCAGGGGATCCAGTTCTTGGTGGAGAACGAACTGCTGCAGAATACGCCGGAGGAGATCGCCCGGTTCCTGTACAAGGGCGAGGGGCTGAACAAGACAGCCATCGGGGACTACCTGGGGGAGCGGTGAGGGCCCTGTGCTTCCCTCCGCACCATGCCTGGCCCTGCGACTCCACTGCCGCGGGGAGGGGGGGGTCGGGGTCTGGACCAGCCTGCAGGTACCTGGGAGGTGGCCGTCCACACGGGAGCGCTGCCCATGCACTTGGGGACCCTGTTGGCTTCTAGGCTGAGGGCAGCCAGGTACATGGGGCCGGCTCCAGGCGTTTGCAGGCCACCGGTGTCCTGGGAACATGAGGACCGTCTCAGGACAGGGAGGTTGCGTCTGCATCCTGGGGAGAGTGGGGCCACTTGAGGGGGGGACAGAAGGTCACCTGGGTGATGGCTGCGGCTCCTCCAGCAAGGGTGCAGCAGAAGTGGGGCTCCGGGGGCCGACCGAGCAGCCGTGCAGGGTGGGTGGTGGGCAGCCGTCCGGGGCCCCTGCCCGCAGTGACCCTGTCCCTGTGTCTCCAGGGAAGAGCTCAATCTGGCGGTGCTCCATGCGTTTGTGGACCTGCATGAGTTCACCGACCTCAACCTGGTGCAGGCCCTCAGGTGCGGGGCAGGCAGGGGGGCAGAGGGGCGCAGGTGGGCAGCTGGTGCAGTGTGAGGGGCCCCGCCAAGGGCCTCCTGCAGGGGGTCCCCCTAGCCAGGTGTCCACTTGTCCCTCCTGTCAACATGCCTGGGCACATGGGCTGCCTTGGAAAGCTGAACCCGAGAAGTCCATTCGTTTTATAAGATTTATTTATTAATTTTTTTTTTTAATTTAAAATGCAGTTATGCAGAGAGATCCTCCATCTGCTAGTTCACTCTAAATAGCCACGACAGCCTGAGCTGCTTCCTCTGGGTCTCCAGTATGGGTGTGGGGACCCAGGCACTGGGCTGTCTGCCACTGCTTCCCAGGCACTGCAGCAGGGAGCGCGATCAGAAGTGGAGCGGCCAGGACTCCCCCCGGAGCCCATATGGGATTCCAGCACTGCAGGCGGTGGCTTTACCCACTGTACCACATTTCACCCCCCAAGTTTTTAAAAAGATGTATTTTCATTGTATTTGAAAGGCAGGCAGAGCTCTTCCATCCCCGGCTTTACTCTCTGAGTGCCTGTAGCAAGCAGCCAGGGCTGGGCCAAGCTGAACCAGGCAGCCAGAACCCCAGTTGAGTGGTCACCCCCTATGGGTGGTGGGGCTGCAAGGACCACCCCCTTCCGGGCAGCCGCATTGGACAGGAATAGCTGGGTGCTTGGGCATGGAAGGTGGGCATCCTGAGCAGCCCCCCAGCTACCCGCCTCCCCTGCACCCTGATGTGTGAGCTGCACCCCTGGGGCAGGGGGGTCACGAGCCGAGGCCCGAGTGTCTAGCTTGCTTGCTGACCAGTGTGGAGAGCCTTCGCTGTCCTGGCGCCCACACCCCAACCCCTATCCCCATCCAGGCAGTTCCTGTGGAGCTTCCGCCTCCCTGGGGAGGCCCAGAAGATTGACCGCATGATGGAGGCCTTTGCCCAGCGCTACTGCCTCTGCAACCCTGGCGTGTTCCAGTCCACAGGTGAGGACGCGCCCCGGGCGGGGGGAGGCAGGGCTGGCAGCCCCGCTGGCCGGCCGAGGCTCACCTGTGCCGCGCCCACCCGCGCAGACACCTGCTACGTGCTGTCGTTCGCCGTGATCATGCTCAACACCAGCCTGCACAACCCCAACGTGCGCGACAAGCCGGGCCTCGAGCGCTTCGTGGCCATGAACCGCGGCATCAACGAGGGCGGGGACCTGCCCGAGGAGCTGCTCAGGGTCAGGCCCTCGCCGGCTCCCCGGGGTGGCACAGTTATGGCTCTGCTGCGTCTGGCTGCTGTCGCTCCTGCCAGTCCCCATCTCCCTGGCCTTGCTGCACACGTGTGCCCCTCCTTCCAGCCTGCTCCTCTGCCCCGCCCGCTTGGGGTGACTCCGCTCTCCCTCACCCCTCCCGGGCCCTCTGACCTGACCCCGCTCCCACCCCCAGAACCTCTATGACAGCATCCGCAACGAGCCCTTCAAGATCCCTGAGGACGACGGCAACGACCTCACCCACACCTTCTTCAACCCGGACCGCGAGGGCTGGCTCCTGAAGCTGGGTACGTCCGCTGCGGCCTCTCCGCCGTCCTCCATGGGGTGCTGCGGGGGCCTGCAGGTCTGGGCGCTGCACTTGGCCTCATACAAACCTGCTGTGTCACCTGAGGCAGGCGTTTGGCCTCTCTGAGCCTTCCTGAGTGTGCTCAGCCTTATGTCCTGGGCCAGGCGTGCCTCTGGGCGCTGTAGCGGGAAGTACTGGTTTTACCTCAGTAGGCGGGAGCATTCATCAAGGTCACCTCCACCTCAGGCAGCCAACCAAGCCAGGCCCATGTCCCCTCGGCTGCAGCCCTTTCCAGTTCGGCCCCACCAGCAGGCAGCACAGAGCTGGAGTGGGCAAGGACACCTGTCCCAGAGTCCCCTGGACGACTCCTGGCCCCTCAGAGTATTTCCCCAGTGGGGATGGGCAGTCTGCACAGGCTGGCATGACTCGAGCCCCTGCCCAGCCAGGGCTGCTGAGCGGGGTGCGGTGCCGGGGTCTGTGTCACCGCTGGCTGCCTGCTCACTGGGCACTGGGCTGAGCTGCTGGCTCTGGTCGTGCAGGCTGTGGCTGTTCAGGGGGAGCTGCTGAGGACAGAGGCTGGCCAGGCCAAGGGCGGACTGCACAGACTGTGGGTGTGGCCTCATGCTCTTGATCCCAGGCAGTTCAAAGGGTGTCTCCCCAGAACCCTCATCGGTAGGCTACTGCCTGAGCGGGACACGTTCCCGCAGCCCATCTGAAAGCGTTGTGGTGCGGGCCCCGTCCTGCAGTCACAGGAGAGGCGGCCTCGGGCCCTGCTGTTGGCCCAGCGCATCTGCTAGAACAAGGAGACCTTGCTTAGAGTCCTCAGCTGGGAGAGGGCTTCTGGGGGCTGTTCTGCTCAGGGTGCCAGTGGCCAGCAGGTGGGCGGTAGGATGGCTGACTTGAGGGTAGAGTCCAGAGAGGGCAGAAGAGCGTCCTAAGGTCACAGGGCAAGCTTGTGTGGGAGCCAAGCACACAGCGTCCTCCTCAGGCCCAGGCCAGGGTCTTGTCCTGGCTGTGTGGTGACCCACGGCAGGACCTGGCGCCACAGCGCCACCAGGCTCTCCTGGCAGAGAGGTCCCGGGGTGGGCTGGTGCCACCATGCTGGGCCCAGGGCCTTGGCTTCCCGGGGAGAGAGGCTGTGGCCATTGCTGCCTCGAGTGGGCGTAACTGGTTTTCTTCCCTCTCTCCCCCTCCCGCCCCGTCCCGCCCCCTCTCCGTGTTCTCGCTGCCGCCATGCCTCTCTTCTCTGCCTGGCCCCGCACACCCCCTCCTTGGCCTGCCCTGTTTCTGTCGCCTGCGGCTCTTGGGGGCGCCCCCTCTCCTGCCTTCCCTCCTCCTGCACCTGGCCCTGCCTGCTTTCTCCTGTCTGCCCCAGGAGGTAGGTACCCAGCCAGCCTGGTGCCCAGCACTAGACGCGGGGAGAGGCTGCCCCAGCCTCAGGCCCCTGGGGAGGAGGGCCAGAATTGTGGCACCCCCATGCACACTTGTGCCCACTTATCTCTCTCCCACACGCCCGCTGCGCCCTAGACCGGAGAGCCCTGCCTTTCCTGCTCCGCCTCTCCCGCCCCGTCTCCCCGCGGCCCTGTCCCCCCCGTTGAGCCCGGGCCCCCTCCCGCCCCTTCCCTTTCAGGGGGCCGGGTGAAGACGTGGAAACGGCGCTGGTTCATCCTGACGGACAACTGCCTCTACTACTTTGAGTACACCACGGTGAGCGGGGGCTGCTGGGCCGGCCGGAGCCCTGCACTGCCCGAGGGGCTGGCAACCCGAGCTCTGTGTGTCCCCACAGGACAAGGAGCCCCGAGGCATCATCCCCCTGGAGAACCTGAGCATCCGCGAGGTGGACGACCCCCGGAAGCCGGTTAGGCTCGCTCTGTCCCCCTTCCTGCCCTGGCGGGGACGAGGCCCCGGCCTCAGGTGGGCACTCAGTGCTGTCCCCTCTCCCCGTGTCGCCCCCAGAACTGCTTTGAGCTCTACATTCCTAACAACAAGGGGCAGCTTATCAAAGCCTGCAAGACGGAGGCGGACGGCCGGGTGGTGGAGGGCAACCACATGGTGTACCGGATCTCGGCGCCCACCCAGGAGGAGAAGGACGAATGGATCAAGTCCATCCAGTGAGTGCTGGCCCGGGCGGGCGGGGTGCGGGCCCGGCCCCCTCCTCGCTGTGACACGCCTCCCCCGCAGGGCGGCAGTGAGCGTGGACCCCTTCTACGAGATGCTGGCCGCCCGGAAGAAGCGCATCTCCGTCAAGAAGAAGCAGGAGCAGCCCTGACCCCGCCCCCGACACCGTTATTTATTTTGGAGCTGCCCCGCCGGGTGGCCGGCCCCCCGGGTCCTGGGGCTGCGGATCCTGGTTCCCGTCTGGAAAGTTCACCTCTGGCTCCTCACTGGTCATTTGTAATTAACACACTGTTGCTAATCTTATTCGTTATTTAACTGCTCCCGCCTGTAGAGCCCTCATTTCCTGGGGTTGATTCCATGTGGAGATCCTTGGCACACAGCCACACAGCCACTCTGCCCCTGGCAGAGGCTGTTGGGCTCCATGAGGGGCGGGGGTGCCTTCTGCACGCTCCTGGACAGCCCCTGCCCAGTCTCAGCCCTTGCTATGGCGCTCCTGTGGTGGGCCTCGAGTGAACTGTGCAAGCTGATGGGGACATGAGCTGTGCCCAGGGCAGTGATGCAGGCCAAGCTGGAGCGCCACGGGGGGACCTGGAGGAGGGTCAGGCAAGGATGTGGCTGCAGAAAGCCCGAGCCTGGGTGTAGCTCCCAGCGCATCTGCCCAGGCCTGCAGTGTGAGGCCGTCTCTGAAAGAAAGCCTCAGAATGTACGATGCCCCCTTTTGCCTCTAGTTGGAGTGTGCGTAGTCCCCCTGCAGTATAGGGTTTCTGGGCCCCATGCCACCCTTGGGTGCTGTGGAGACCTTCAGGAGATGGCAGGTTCATGGCTTTGGCCGTGTGGCCTGCCTGGAGGTGTAGCCCTCCACCTGGTGCGTCATGGACATGTCCAGCCCCAGTTGTTGCATGCTCGTGTCGGGGTAGAGCTGCCCGTCCTGCCTTGGGCCATCGGCACCTGCTGGCACCTGCTGGCACCTGCTGGCACCTGCTGGCGTGAAGGGTTTGGTAGCGCAGTAGCAGCACTGCCTCTGTGGGCAGCGGCCCCTGCCGGCTGGCTACGTGACTCCGGCTGCCCACAGTGGGCATCCTGGGAGCTGGGGTCGCTCCAGGCTAGTGGAGGGACTTGCCCCTTGCCCCTCACCCCTCCGCCACAGTGGGGTGTCAGTGAAGAGGCTCTGGCCCCTTCCGCTGGTGGAGTGCCAGCTGCTCCCAGAGAGGAGGGCCCTGGGCAAACACTGCAGCTGTCTCGGGGGCCCAGCCAGGCCACCCGGCCCTTCACCATGTCGGCCAAGGGGTGAGGCGGGGAAGGGTCGGTGTGCTGGGTGAGTGCCAACTCGAAATCAGACAGGTGTGACCGCGGGGTAGTGGTGGGGAGCCCCAAGGACAGGAGCTGGAAATGTCTGTCCCGAGGAAGGGCATCTGATGGCCACAGGGAAAGGGTGTGGTGGCCTGTGACTGGCTGAGACCCGCATCCACAGGACTGGCCAGGGGCTGGGCCAGCTGAGGGGAGTAGCAGTGACCCGGATGGCTGGAGTGTTCTGTTGGAGCTGCAGACGCCCAAGCCAGACGACTGTCGCCTCAGTGTCGTCTTCACCTTTACCCTCTCCCAAGGACTGAGGAGGTGGGCTCCCAGATTCCTCCTCAAGCGGGGCCCCAAACTCGAGCCCTCTCTTCTTCCAGGGGTTGAAATGTGTGTGCGTGTGTCCCCCGATTCCTGTCCCCTTAGCATCCGTGGATGTGATCTTACTCTGAAATGGGGTCACTGCAGATATAATTAGCTAAGATGAGGGCGGCCGTAATCCAGTACCACTGGTGTCCTTGTAAAAGGGGGACATTTGGACACAGACACAGGCCAGCCCGTGGCCAGGAGAGAGGAGACCAGGTTCAGAAGAGGCCGCAGGGAATGGGGCCGGGGGCAGACTGCCTCCACTTGGCTCCCACTGGCCTCCCACCTCGGCTGCTGAAGGGTGTGGGAGTCAAAGGCTGCAGCCCCCCACCCTCAGGCTGTGACGGCAGGCCTGGGCCCTAACACCAGGAAGCCCTCCTCTTCCTCCCCTGGAACCCTCGCCTAATGCCCCCATCACCTCAGTTCCCAAGCCAGAGCCCACCCTTGTCCCTTCTTCCCTTGATCAAACCAGCCTGTGCCGAGGTCATGGGGGCAGGTGGGGCCCTGTTGGCAGGCAGCAGAGGTGAAGGCCGGAAGAGCTGAGAAAGCGAGGACAAATGGAGGCGGCCACAGTAGTGACAGGAAGAGGTGACAGGGAAGAAAGCAGAGCTGGCCCAGGCAGACAGAATCCGGTGGGAAGGAAGCCGGGGTGGGGGCTGCAGTGGAGAACTCCCGGAGCTGGAGGGCTGGAGGGCCTAGTGGCAAGGCAGGCCACTGAGGCAGGGCCACTGCGGGGCAGGACGGCACCGCGCCCCCTCTTCCCAAAACACGCGGGTTCCACGTTCCTCCAAAAAGTTGTTTTTGTCTTTTTTAAATAATGTGAAAATGCCACGCGAAGGTTTGAACCAGAGGCCCACTCCAGGGGCCAGGCGGGGGAAGGGGGTGGCATGAGATGGGTGCAGGGTAAGGGAGTTGAGTCCAGGTCCCCGAGGAGGTCTAAGGGCCGCGGGTGGGCGAGGAGGGGCCTCTGCTGTGCCAGGGGGCGCCAGGCCCACAGGAGTTCGGTTCGTTCCAGGAGCGGTGGCTCTCCAAAGGAGGGCGGGGCTTCCTGCCTCATTTGGCACCGAGGGGATCGGGGGCATCGGAGGAGCCATCCGGGGGGCTGGGGGGCGGGGGGCCGAGGCCTCCCGTTTGGCACATGGTGGGGGAGGGGGAGGGCCCGGCCTCGGCGGCCTCCCCAGAGGAGGAGGTGGCGGCAGCTGCAGCGTCTGCGGTGGTGGCAGTGGCTCCTTCGTCCACAGAAGATTCTACCCTGAACCCCTCTTCTGGGGGCGCAGGGGGGTCGGGTCCTCGGGGAGTCAGTTCTCCACGGGGCCTGAGGATGCCAAGCGGGGGAGAGAGCAGAGGAGATGGGGTGAAGGGCTGACCCGTGTCACCACCCACCCTTGTCCCGAGGAGCCGTCCACCAAGCTCTCCAGCATCCCCTCTGGCCCCACGTATTTCACAGATCTGAAGAAGCGAGGCCAGAGACAGGGGAGGGCACCCACTTCTTCCTGCCCTCTCCTTGCGAGCCTGGGTCTTCAATTCCAATGGGCAGTGCAGCCCGCGTCCACTTCTCAAAGGAACACGTGAGTGTCCAGCAGACACCTATTAGTGGCTGCAGCTGCCCTCAGCAGCATCCATTATCTTTGTGGACCAAGCGGAGGGATCTGGGGCTTCACTGGCGTCCCAGGGCGTGCCCTCCTCAGACACCACAGTCCCCCAGGACCAAGTCCTGCCCCTGAGCCCACTCCCCTCCAGGTCATCCCACACCGACCCTCCCAGCTGCCCACCCTGGACCTAGGTCAGGCTGGAGGGGGGTCAGGCAGCAGGAACCGGCCGCCCCTCCCTGAAAAGCCCTGACTGCACTTTCTGCCTCCTCACCGTGCGCCCAGAGTCCTCCGGGATGGGCAGCTGACAGTGCAGCCCGCCCGTGCAGCTAGCTGCCTGCTCGGGTAGGAGTTAGGTGAGCCCTGGCCCCTGCAGGGTGGGTACTGAGGGTGGGTACTGAGGACCGGCCATGTGGCGCCCAGGGAAGCCTGGCCGGGGCTGGCTCCTCCGCGGGCCCTAGGATCCACCGCATGGGGGTCCTGGCCAGGGTTCCACGGGTCCAGGTGCGGCTGACGCGCTGCAGGGCCCACGAGCCGGCCGGCCACTCTGAGCGGCTCCCGCAGCGTGGCCATGTCCCGGGGAGCTCCCTGGCCCGTCCTCCCTCTGTGGCCTGGCTCGCAGCGCCTTGCCTGTCTGCCCCTCCTGGCCAGTGCGTGGATGGGGCAGTCCGCCACCATGCAGGGGTGAGGGTGCGCAGTACCTGCGGGCCGGGCGTCGGGGGCCCGGGTGGGGGGCCCCGGCGTCTCCAGCGCAGGCGAGACGGAGAAGCGGGAGAAGCACAGGGGGGGCCCTGGCGGGGGCAGGAGGGGGAAATCCTCCGCCCACTCGAAACTGCCTCCTGCAGGGGTGATGCGAGAGCAGAGTGGTGCACGCGTGTGGGTGGACCTGCCGCGAGCAGCCCCGCCCACCGGATAGTTCTCACAAGGCCCCGCCCACAGGGTGGCCACGCCCCTCGCGAGGCGCCACCCTCTCGTAGATCCACTCACCGAACGGCCCCTCCCACCACACAGCCCCTCATTTAGGCCCTGTCCTAAGGTAGACCCGCCCACTGGCCCCCACACGCACAAGGTCACGTGCTCTTGTACAGGTCCGCCCACAGGCCCGACTCTGCATTCAAGCCCGGCTCTCTGGTGTAGGCCCGCCCACAGGCTCCACCCACCACCATCAAAACCCCGCCCCTCGCAAGGGCCCGCCCACCAGGCCCCACCCCTTGTAAGCCTCACCCACACCATTACACAGGCCCCGCCCCTCGCGTAGGCCCACCCCTCATACAGCCTCACCCACATCCATCACACAGGCCCCGCCCCTCGCGTAGGCCCCGCCCACAGGCTCCACCCATCATACAGCCTCACCCACATCATTACACAGGCCCCGCCCCTCGCGTAGGCCCCGCCCCTCACCAAAGCCGCTGTCGTTGCTGGGAAACCCATCTCCGGGGGTGGCGGGGTGGGGAGGCGTCGGGGGCGCCGGAGGCGTGGACGGGTCCGTGTCCACCTCGGGGGGGCCCTGGACGCTCAGCTCGTTGGTTGGCGTCTCCTGCGAAGGCAAAAGCAGCCGCGCGAGGGGTCGCTCGCCACCGCACCCACCGCCACGGCCTCCACAGGCCCACGCTGGCGCCCAGGGCCTCCTGCAGCCCGCCCAACCCCGTCCCACTCGGAGCTGGGGCGCCTTTGTTCCAGAGGGTTCGGGCCGCACATCCTGGGGGTCGCCGGGTGCCAGGCGCGTGGGCCCCAAAGCAGCTCCCACGCTCCCTTCTTGCAATCCCCATGGCCTTTGGTCACTCTCACCATCCTCCCCCATCCCAGCCATTCCTCACCGTGTCCCACCCTCCTCCTAGGCTCCCCCAGCACTCTCCCCATGGCTGGCCCTGGGCGAGGCAGACCTACCTGCCCTTCCAGCCCCCCGCACTGGACCGGGCTCTAACCGGCTTAGCATCAGTCCCCCTCGCGGGCGCGCCCTAATCCTCTTAACGCTTGGCCTTTCCCAGCTCCTTCCTGATTGCCAGGCAAGGGCACTCCCCCTTCTTTCCAGATCCTTCCTTTTCCAGACTTCCCCCCTTTCCAAAACGAG